GAGAAATTTAATGTCTGTTGTTTTCGGATTGTTAAAAATGTCATTTTGGGTACGCTAAGAAGGTAAGCTATCGTTTTCGGAAAGGCGATAAGACCTAAGGGTTTCGGGAAATGGACAAAAAAGCCCTAATAAATTCGACAATACTCAACTTCCCCTAGAATAACCGAACAGATACAATTTTTTTAGCGCAACCTAAAATTAACCTACAGAGCTTTAAAAGTACTCTACGTAGCCTAAAACAGCGTTTAAAAGCATACGAGAGAAAACGGTCGTTGGGTGCCCCTGCTATATCACTTTCAAAACGCAACGCTGAAACCGTTTGCTTTATTGAAAACTTGGTTTAGATCGCGTACAGCTACATAAACACACGAGGTGATGCTAGTGATAACCTTAGCCTTTTGACGTCTTTTACAAGAGCATGTGTAATTAACTGTAGAGAGCTCTGGATGCTTGCAACAAACTATTAGAGATTTTTTCTCTCTATTTGAAATGAGTTTACAAAAACTAAAATTGGGCTCCTTTTGCTCCAGTACAATTCCGTGCGAAATTCGTTTTAGCACTTCCGGTCACATCTATCGAAAATGGCAGTTGTTTCTACAGCCCTTCTTTACACTTTCGCGCCCCACCTCGTCTGATAACAAGCCCCCTTAGATCCGATAGACTAGTCCCCAAGTTCTTGCAAAAATTCTCAATTTTATTTTAATTTAATGTCAAGTTTACGAGGTTAGAATTGATGTATGACATTTCCCAGCACTCTTGACAATAGGGATTTCTTCTGGAGTGAAATATTCTAAATCCTTGTCTCTCAAGCCATTTTGCTATACTGTAGTACCGTCGCAGAGATTCTGGAGTGTGTATGATCACGTGATACTCTACATCGAGTTGCCTTACGTACTTTCGTAAAGTTCCTTCAGCCAGCATGTGACGTAAGCACTTCCATTCATCAGATTCGATGTCTATTTTCAAAATGTCGATTTCTCTCTGTGGAAAAAAAAAGGTTAGTCAAAGTAAATAGGAGACTTTCTCAACAACTTAACTTACTTTGACTGATTGACTGCCTGCGCTGCCTGACTGCCTGAACGTCTGACTGACTGGCTGCCTGACAGGCAGACTGTCAGACTGCCAGACTGCCAGACTGCCATGTTGCCAGACTGGCAGCACGCATGACTGACTGGCTGCCTGACTGCCAGACTGCCAGACTGCCTGCCGTACTGACTGTTCGCCTGACTGTCAGACTACCTAACAGCCTGAGAGCCTGTCTGCCAGACTGTCTACTTTACTGACTGACTGACTGACTGACTGACCGCCCTCCTGACTAACTGCCTGTCTGACTGATTTTCTGACCACTTGTTCATCACCTGAGCGTGTCCTAGTTCCTGTATGATTGCCGCCAGTGTTCTTGTTTTCCACGTGCTCTTGTCAAGCACGTCTGCAGAGAGAGGATTTTTGGCTCCTTCTTGATTAACATCTGACAGTCCAAGGTTGTAGAACGTCACGCCAGTGCTGTGATTATGATCTTCCTTTCCCATGGAAGGATCAAACGCTGACACTGTGCAACCATATTCGGCCATCTTTTCGTCGAAGGAAAAATCGTATCCTGTTCTATAAGAAGTAATAGTAGGAAAAACGCTGGATTAAAGGTGTTACAATCTAACCGTTATAATCTCAGTACCCTAGGGATTGTGGGGGCAGGGGAGGGGGTGTCAGGGCCTTATGTATCTTGAAATGAGGTGTTAGGAGGGTCACTACTCCCCCCGGATGGAAATGAGACTATCGTAGTGTTGCCAGTGTTGTCACGTTGACCTAACAATTTACCTGCACCCATTTCACACATCTGGGTGGAGAGAGAGGCCTATCGTGAGAGCAAAGCTGTCTTGCTCAAGAACGCAATACAGTGAGCAGCTTGGCCAGGGCTTAAACCTGCACCTCTCAATTGGAAGTATGACGCCTTAGTTATGTCTTTCCCCATCCCTTCTCTCTTCGTTAGACCCAATAGTCAAACAAATGTTTGAGTAGAAGCATATTTCGAATGTTCCCGAAGGACCGAAAATTATACGTGTACGCTATTGAAAACACAATTTAGGATCAGTAAAGGGTTTATTCGCGTTCGCGCTGTTGTTGGAAGTAAACTGTTATTTAACGGCGCGCTCTTAAAATGGAACTACCATTATTAGGCTAAAATCGTTTGTCATCTTGGAAAAAAAATCGTCTGTTAGTCATAATTCTCTTACCCAAATGAGTATACGACACACCATCCTGGATTTAACTCAACTTCCTCGTCAAAGCAAACGTACCACATGCCATCAGGACCCATCGGGCGAGGGGCTCCACGAGGTCCCTGCGGTAAGCCCCCTATGCTGCGTACGTCAGCGCACACGGCACCCTGAGTTGAAAGGGTCTTCATGAGCCTCTTCATTTCGTTCCCAGAGGGAGGTTCCTCGACATACGTAAATATGCTTGCTGTTGGTAGCGGAGATCTAGGCGTCTCAGAAGGCTTAAACAACGGAAATGAGCTTCCTTCGTATCCTGATAGGCCAGTCGTATTCTTGAATCCTGTGTTAAAAGATCATGATAAACCTTATTTTGCTTTGGCTTTTGTTTTATAGCAATCACTAGAAAATCCTTTTAATGGCAGTTGTAATATAAAGCAAGACCACAATAATCTTTGCATGATCAACTCCAGCCGAACCTAGCGCGGGAAAATATGTAACCGGATGCAAGCGCGGGAAAATACACAAAAACCAGGTCACGAGTGGTTTTCGTCTACTTCTGATTGGCTGAAAAAAGAAAGAAAGTTGGCTCTGATTCGCTACAGTACGTTGCATGTTCATGGTAAGCCGAGAGGAAACAAACAATGTACAGGAAAAAAACTCTCGAATGGTCTCCTTTTGATTTCTTCGCGTAGCGCTCTCACCACCGCCTTTCTGTCTGCAAGCAACTCGATTGAAGTACGAAGTTCGAAAAGAAATCTTTTAAAACTTTTTACACTTTTACACGGTCTTAGCACTCAAATTATACGTTGTTTCTTTCGTTGACCTTCAAACTTACCGATAGTTTCTTCGTTGCTTCTTCTCGTCTCATAAACATTGCCACTCAAAAACAGGTGGACCTGGTAAATAACGGAAAGATCAGACAATGTAATTTACTTAAAGAAACTCGTGATTTTGAGGAGCTTGAAAAACATACTTTGGTAGGAAGCCTTCCGGTCATTGAACGTTAGTGCTGAATTTCAATCCTTACATCGTAAAATAAACATAACTGAATAACTCTCCTTTCCGGCTTCGAAGATATAGCTCAGTCCTGAAAGGTTTTCGCGGATTATCCTACGATATACCAGTCGCATAAAGAGGTTGTTTATTTACAAGACAGTGCTTAATTTGTCTGGACGGGGTTAAAAACGGATAATAAATTACATCAAAATATTTAAAATTCTCTCTTCATCCGTTTAATTCTCATTACAACACGCGGAGTCTGAACTAGAAATCGAGAAATCACCCACAATATTTTGGCCCAACGTAGGCTTGTAGCAGGGTGATGTTTGTTCGTAGATTTCGGGGTACATCAAGTGAAATTCCTCCGAGACATATTCGCATTCCTGCTCAGACTGTTCTTTGTTCGTATTATCCTTGTATAAATATAAGTTTCAAAGTCAACCAAGTTTTGTTACAATAAACAAGTTAAGAGGAAAACAGCAAACTTCCCGATCAAGTTCAGGTAGGCAACGCTTGTTTTAAGGGAGCGTCATTATCAGTTATTTTAAAGTTATTCTGACAATTTTTCTCCGTATTTCTGTAAACAATTTGACCTCCTGCCCGTCCGTCATATCAGACGAGTCTCACGTTCAGGACGGTTTTCCGTCTCTATTATGAAATCGGCAGTTCTCGTTCATCATACCCCATCCTGCTCAAAATACTGTACGGTCATGTTACGACACTACAATGCTCACCAACTTGAAAAAACAACCAAGTACAAATCATATTCAAGTTAGCTTAGCCCGAGGTCTGCGATGACACTACACAACACTTACGGAGAACTGTAATTAATTGTAATTAGGATTACACTCACCACGCTGGGGGGAGGGGCTAGTAACATGGTTATGACTGCAATAGACACCATTGCACAGCCCACAATCCATCGTCGACGGCGATAATAGCGATCAAGAAACATGCTGCGGAATAAATAGCAATAACAAAAAAAATATGAAAACCTTTAAGTGCGAACGGGGCGTTGATAAAACACCCTGAGGGTTGTCATGTCACGGACATGTCACGGATCCTTGACCGTCACTGTTTTACTCTACCAATATATGTCCTTCGTACGAGCGTTCTTTCCCATCCAAACAAGGACGAAGCTAAAACCACGCAATCACATTTTTGGCTTCGCGTGTTTTCTTGTACTTAGGGCGAGATGAAGGAATCCCAGCCAATTACGCCACCCCGGCGCAAAGGGTCACAGAAACCCATAAAATGGGGACTTAAGTGCCACATGGCTTAAAGAAGTCTAACGGAGTAATTAGTACATTTTTTTCACGAGTTTTAGGCCCCGTCCAACACTACGCCGTGGGAATTTGAGAACAGAGCTTTCACTCTGAAAACGCATCAAATGTTTTCCGTCCACACTACTCCGGAGGAGTTTAAAAACGCAACAATGACCGGTCATTTTGAATTTGTGGTTAAGGAAACCTCGGTCAATGAAATCACGTTATTATCGTGATGTCATGATCGCTTACGAAAAGCTCCGTTTTCAAAATGTTTTCTGTCCACACTAAAACACAAAGTCGGCGTTTTCAAATTCCTCCGGTTTGAAGGGCGTTTTCGAAAAGCTCCGTTTTCGTGACGGATCAGTGTGGACGGTAGGCCTAACCGTAGAAATAAAGCTGCGTTTTCGTGACGGATTAGTGTGGACGGTAGACCTAACCATAGAAATAAAGCTGCGTTTTCAAATTCCTCCGGCGTGGTGTGGACAGGCGTTAGGGGCGCAAGCATTTGCTCTGAAGTGAGAGTACCTACATGGCCGGCATAGCTGGCGGCATTTCCGAGGTGTGAAGGGTTTGTTTTTTTTCGGCAGCGGAGTTTTCGCAAGGTGCGTACTCGCCGCAAAAGAAATCTGGAAATCCCGCCAAACAGCCCAGGTTGTGTGGCAGATCGATAGAGGTCTGCTATATTGCATCAGTAAAGCATGTTGTTATACTTAACAAAAATAAAAACAAAGTGGTGTGCATATAACATTGAAAGTTTCTTTCCAAAGATTTGGATAAATAGTATCTTCCTTCATCTCTCCCTTTGGGGTGATTGCTGTTGTTTTCATTAAGAAGTCATCACAAAGCTTTTTGCCCAGGACAACACGAGCGATAACTGTTGCTGTAACTTACCTTTGATTGTTTTGGTGCTCAAACCAAGTTTTATAATCCTTTCATTTCAATTTCTCTGATTTCTATTTTCTGTGCCACGTGCCCAAGCTCGATTTCCTTAACTGTTATGCCCTCCGTGGACGTGTTTCGGCTGAAAATGACGCACCAAACCCGGCTTCCTTCACGCGAGCTCTCGGATCCCGCTAGAAATATTCACAAATCTCTCTTCCAGGGAAGTAGCCTTAAGAAGTCAGTAGTTAGTGTGCAGCGACGGTAGTCCCAGCTTGATCAGTAACAAAGGCTGTGTTTAGCAACTGAAAAGACAGGTTTGGCAGGCCGCGGAGCTCAAAGGATTTCTCCGGTCCTTTGTTTAAAGTAAAATGGCACCTGTACCATCAAATGTTGTCAATCGCAAACAAAGAGAGAACAGAACAAGACCAGCAGACATTTAGTCTAACAACAGGTGCCATTGAGAAGAAAGCTACTGCAAAAGTACTATCCATATTTTTCATTTTTTTTGTTTTTGTTTTTCAATTTTCCCTAAATTATACGTTGTTATTAAACTTCTGGAAAATTCACTGACTGCTGATTGCCAGGCGTTAAAATACATTTCTCTACATTGCTTTACTTCAGGGTTTCTGCTAGGTCACGTTCACAATAATGTGAATCAAAACGATGCGCTTTTTGCACCGAAAACACATCACAAACTTCGCATCCACACCACCGTACGTTTTCATAGTTTTCTCCGTCTACACTAAAACACTCGAAAAAGATGATACGCCATAGAAGGACGTCATCACCGTCTTTTGAAAACGAACATGTGATCGTTTTGAAAGCCTCTATTGTTGTTGACAAAATTAATACGATAGGGGCCCTTCTTCAAATGTCTTTACTCTCGACAGTGTTTCAGCTCGTTTTAGTGTGCACCGGTGAGTGGGTGAGTGCAAATGCAACAAACATGTTTTCAAACGACAGGACAGTTTTTAAAGTTCGATAAGTCTGTTCCAATTCAGTTGAACCTGCAGTCCACATTATGTTTTTAATGCAAGGACATCAAGTCCATCCCCCGTCCCCAGCTAGAAGATTTCTCAAGATCTAGAAGACTCCTCTATTTAGTATGTTACTAATGAGGCATTTTTATTTAAGATATTATTCTCAAGTTTGTAGTTTATCTAAAAATGTTAAAATGTACAGGCTTTTGATTGCTGTTACTTATTACTTGACAAAACATTTTGTTGTGAAAATATTTTTCTTATGGCCATTGACCACACTAACTGAGCAGTGCTTTGCATCAGGTTAGCATAACTATGGTATATAAAAACATATTTACACTGAAATTATAAATATTATTATATTAACTGGTAAATAGCTTGACACTTCATGCAGTTAAACTGAAATATTTAATTTTTTTTAAAGAGACCATCTTTTAAGTTGGCCACTGATTTGTACCAGGTCAGGATAACAAAATCCAAAAATATTATGTCCATTATATTATAAATCTGGTAAACAATTTCTTTATTTAGCACGGATATTCCAATATTCATCAGAGTCATTTTCCACCTCTTCAGGCATGTGCAGTAAGGTAATGATGACGTCATCATCTCTTTTCTGGAACAACATTTCGCCTTCAAAGTGAACCAAGTTCTGTTTCCGAGCCCGCAGTAACATTCCTACCACTTTATTCGATATTCTGGTGTATCTTTCAAACAAGCGACCAAAAGTGACGCAGACAGTTCCATCTGGTTGCTCACGACCCATCTGTAAAATAACTCTGCATAAATCTCTCACTTCCTGACTGATGTGGGCACCGGCGAATCGTCCACGAGCTTCTGTTTTCGACCCTGCTAAAGGGCGTCCATATTCTCGGCTATGCCGGCTTGGAAGAGCTGTCATTTTCCTGACGAGTTAAATCACACTTTACTTTCAGAAACTTCGACATGCAAAGTTTGGAAAATTTGCAAGGCAATACGCTCAAGGGTGAAGGCCATTTCATACTGTCAGATGATTACCCAGACGTTTCCTTAATTCATCCTTTTAGTTTCAAGGGAACACATCAAGGAAAATAAGATAAATACGTTACAAAAACAGATCTCCTTGAATTGCTGTTTATTACTTCAGCAGATCGAAGTCTGTTCCTCTGTCTGGATGTCTTAATGCTCCCATAAAGAACATAAGCTGTCCTAACTTACTTACGATCTATTTACCTTTCCAATGAATGATCGAGTCACTTCAGGTGAAGCTCTGTCGTTCCTGAAGTTTTGAACAGAACGACGAACAGAGGAGAACTGCACAATCGTCCGCCATCTTTGTTTGTTGTATCTGCCTCGTTCCCAATCCTCTGTGCGTGCAATCAGCGGTCCCGTCTTGGAGGAGAGTCCCTGCGAACAGAGAGCCTTTTTCGCTCTCCCTAAGAAGGGAATCCTCTTACCGATTTTCTTAGAAAGATCAACGGAGACTCTGTTCGCAGGGTAAGATCTATTTGGTGGCCTATTTCATGGCAGCGGCCAATTTTGGATGACAGATATTTAGCTACGGTGATCATAGTTCGATGTGTTCTATGACCAATAAGAGAAAGGGCCAATCACGTCGCGAATGAAATCTAAGCCATGATAATGATCTTTCATTTATTCACTTGCAATTCAAGTCAGTTGTGATATGGGCTTAACGGGTTTTTTTTTTTTCACGCTTAGCGTCGGTTTCTTGTGTTTTCCCGTTCTTGGCGTAGGTATTTTTTTGTGTTTTCCCGCGCTAGGCGCAGTCTTTTTGTGTGTATTTTTTTTGTTTGTATTTTCCCGTACTTGGCGCAGGTATGTTTTTTTGTTTTCTTGCCCTTGGCATCGGCTCTAAGTTGTTTTTCAGCGGTTCGCGCCAATTGCATATTTTTAGGTACTTGCTGTCGGCTAAATTATTTTTGGTTCAAATCTGATTAGTTTATAACACCAGAGTCAGCTATCGACGGAATGCTTCTTTCTTTGATTACGGTCACTTTCTACAACAAGTGTAGGATCACACAATGGAGAAAACACTAGGCACTTTATCCATAAGGGATCTTTACAGAAGAGATGCTCTTATAAACGTTTTAGGCAGTAAACTATGAGAACTTTCAGTGCAAATATAAGTTTTTCGACATATAAAATAACAGCTAGTTTCATGAATGATCAACCGAGGCTATTCCTGTTTCAAATACCGTCTTACTGGTGCACTAGAAATCCAGGGCTTACTTATTTTCTTCAATTTGAGCCAGTGAAGCCTTCAGAAAACCTCTAGGAATGCTGACCACCGTGCGCTGAAGGTGTACTGTAGCTCGAGGCATGTCGTTTTCCATTCTCCACTCGTTCGATTCCGCTGAGTAACTCTCTACACTTTTGAAACTCTCTCCATTGCAGCTTCCTCCGAACACGTAAATCCTTCCACTAACAGTGGCTACACCCGCAGCGAATCTCGGGATATGCATACTGGCAATTTGAGTCCAGACTCTTGCGCGCGTGTCATACATTTCACAGGAACTCAATGCGTTGTGTCCGAGAATATCTGTGCTTCCACCGAGCACGAAAAGTTTATTTTGGATGGCGACGCAGCAAGCGAAAGCTCTGGCGGTATTGAGAGAAGCTATCGCATCCCAGCGATTCTATATACTATATATATCTTCTTGTTCTTTTTTTAAAGTACAATTTTATGAATAGCTGTATTTTATATGTAAATGCTGATCGCCAGTTAATACCAGTGATCCAGTGATCACTGTTTGGCGTTTCAGGTTAAATAAAGTCTTTTACTTCTTATTCTCCTTCGGGTCGTACATTTCGGCGGTGTTAAGAAATTCGCCGTTTTCTTGTAGTCCACCAAACGCAAACACATGGTCTTTTTCTGCGACCGCACAGAGCGCGCATCGACTGGAACCAAGTGGAGCGATCATCTCCAAAGTGTCCGTTTCAGGAAAGTATTTCTGAACATCTTTTAATGCTTTATTGTCACTTCCACCGACAACATAAAGACATCCAGAGTGAACTGCTACTCCTGGGAATGCCGCTCGCTTCTTTAAACTCGCAACAGACCACCATTTGTTTGTTTTCACGTCTAGTCTCTCAACAGCAGACGTGGCGCGGTCGCTGAAAACCTGCTTAGTTTCGTCATAAAATCTCCCACGATATAAACAAAGTCGTTACACTCGGTTATTCCATGACCCCAACGTTTGCAGAGTAGGGAATCTTCTGCTTCTGTCAAAACAGGTGCCAACTGATACCAGATACGTTCGAGCGTGTTGTAGCAGAGAGTCGAAGACGTGGAACCCTCCTGATAAATCCCTCCGCAGTTTATGACTAATTGCACGTCCCATTGAAGGCATTTTCCGGGCGTAATGGGTGGAGTCGCTTCCAAACTGTCCGGGGACATTAGAGAAAGGACTTTCATAGCATTCAGTAGAATATCAATGCATGATCTATTGGCTTTAACAAGGTCTTCTCCAACAATTGTATGGAGGTAGTGGTTAGACACGGAAGTCAATCGAATGTGTTGAAAAAGCCGAGAAAAGTGAATGCTTCGAGTTTTAGCGTCGTGTTTGACCCAGTTAAGTGTTTGCCTCGTTAACATCTTCCTCTCGGTCTATAACGATGCCATCGTCTGAAATAAACTCTTCTATTTGCCCAGAGGTGAGTCTCAGAAAAGCTTCTGTTTTGGACACTTGCCTAAAGTTTTCGTTGATGAAGGCCTTCGAAACTGTTCTCAGATTTAAACAACGGTTTTTATCTGCAAATTGAAAAGTTCTCACACAGTTTTCTAGATCAAGTTCGTTTTGGAAAAACTCGCAGCCTAAATCCTTGAGTCTGACGAGGTCCAAAATAATGGCAGCTCTGATTGAGCCTTGGACATTTGATAACGTTAACTCCACGAATCCTGTGTACAAATACTGCAATAATTCTTCTGTAACGTTCAGCGAGACTTCAGGAAGCACAACAGAAACTTTCTATTTCTTTTTCTTGTAGCCTTGCTGTGCCAAGGGCTTTTAAAAGTATGAGCTGTTAGCGGCGAGAATGTTACGGTGGGCGTAAAATTTCTGTCCTTCGACTAGCAGCGTCGCGTGACAGTAGATTTGGTCTTTCCGAAAATTATTTAAGGCTTTAGCCAAGTTTTCTGGGTAAGATGGGGATTCCTTTTCTTCCCGTGCCATTTTGAGACAACAGTTTTCAAGGTAAAAATATTTCAGATCTCGATGACCTAGCGGGCTGTAATCACCTAACGATATCTATTCAGGTACAGCGCAACACAAACAAATAACTTCACATTATGTTTCGACAAAAACGTAATTACTCTTGCGTATTAAAAAAATGTTTTACAAAGTTATTTGTAATTTGAATTGTTTTCAGATTTTGTCTCTGTGAAAAAGAGTTTAATAGAAGTACAATCGTCGAACAGTTAACTGGCTGTTTCATTTTTCAAATATTCTGCATTCGCGAAAAAAGGTTTAATTAGCTGTCATAATTCTTTCTCAAGTAGACACTTTAACAATTTAATCCTAAAAGTCACAGGCGCCATAATCCTCAGGGGTTTCATTCAACAAGGAAATAAATACCTAGTGTCTCTCTTTTTCCAAGTTATTTATTTATCCGTAAAAGTGGATTAAGGCGAAAAGTGGGGAGCTTTTGTTCGGAAACGTAATCGATTTTTGTGTTGACGCAAAGCAACAAATAGCTGACGCGTGAAGTTTGAAACGTGACTTGGAAGTAATCTTCTGGGCAAAGACCAAAACGCGTACGCAATTATCAGCTTACAATGCTTAAAGTTGGTTCACGCAGGTCAATCTTTAAACCCTGAAAAAAAGAATATTACATTGACAAAGGCACTTATATGTTGCACATAAGCAGCAAAGTGTTTTTATGTCTTCGGTTATCACCACTCCCTTGTCAAGACTTTCGTTCTACTGAAACTCTCAAGCCGCTGAAGGCAGCACGAAATTTCTCATTTAATTTAGCTTCCTTGGCTCGTTATCCAAAACTTAGCAGTATATTAAGGAATAAACGTTGCGGATCACTTAGAGCATTCTAGTTGAGTCTGAGCAATTTTTTTTTTGTCTATTAAAAAATACAGGTCCGCAATGCATACATTAGCTCTATTTTCGCTAAATTGTGCCGTCGCCAATAAATAAAAAATTGCATCAGCCAACACAATGACTAACACAACTGAGGAGGAATTGTAAATTTAGTTTAGGCATATTCACTTATAGCTGATATCTTTTATCTTTTGAGTACATTCCGTTATTCTAGCCTGGAATATAGTCTCGTGACGCCATAGAATCTTGGAGTATTCAAGGCACACGACATACCTGATTCACACTTGGAGTATTTAAGTTTATATGAGTATGGACAAGTGATGTATTCAAGTCGAATACGGACTCAAGAATCCAAGAGTATTTCGGTAAAGCGCACGCAATATACGTGATGTCCTCGTGGAAAATTCAAGAGTATTCAAGGATGCACACTTGACGTATTCGAGTTGAATTGCGCAGGATTCTAATAGAGTATTGGAGATGTGCCCGCCCGCTTGGCCAATTCGTATTTGGCCAGTTCGGACTTGAACATTTGGCTTTTTGCGCAAGCTGAATTTCTCTCATCCTCAGCTGTAACACGAACTACGCGGACCACGGACGCCTATCTCGATTTTTCCTCTTTTCACTACAAACATCAATCGCTTCTCCTAACAACCATAAGGTATATAAGCATTAATACCGTAAAGGAGTTGAAGATCATTGGAATGCGCAAGTCAACAGGTTGCGTATCACGGTCCCTATTGGAAGTTAAGATTATTCTGGGCGTTTCTTTAGCTTCTTAATATCCACATCATGAACAACGCAAAAATTCCTTAGTTTGTTTGTAACCTACGGTATGCAACAACTGCGCAGGCGTACTGGTAATCTGTTCAAGTAAATAATGGAGTCTTGCTGAAGACTTCAGCTATTCAGTTCTTTTTTCAGACGCAGACATTGTTTCCCTGCAGAAATGATTTGCCATGCAGTAAATGCTCAGCTCAAGCCGTATGTCTGCTATTCAGAAAACTCGCCTGACCTAGAATGAGTGGTTCATGGCAAAAGTCCACGCATAAAATAACTTTGCGGGGCTCAGCACCATTTACGGCATTCTAATCACTCTTTGCCTTAAAAGAGTATTAACACTAAGCCATAACAGCAACACAGAAGTCTAGATGTCTCGGAAGGGCCTTCGTCTGCCAATTCCTTTGCGAAACTTTAATTGATGTAGTATTCGACGTCTCGACTGAGTCGCAAAGAATTCTTTTAATTCTAAAAGCGGGAACTTTGTTTTATTGCGGTTTTTGGTATTACTGGAAAAGTTCAAAGTTTAGGTGCAAAGTTTGCTCCTAGATCGACAGTTTCATTTTATTAGAATTACTACGTCGTCAATAGGCGTGGCCTGTTTTAGCGCCGTGAGAAAAAAACTGCTTCTCGCCGTTGTTTTGTAAGTTGTCTAACATGTGTGGGCCCTTACGCTTTTCATAATTTAACCCTTTAGATTTTAGGGTCAATCCCGATTCAATTAAAGCGCTTCTTATTTTTAAATCCGAGGTTAAAATGCTACTGTGTGTTCAAGCTATTTGAAAAGCAATATTTATACATTCTTGTGCTACTTTTTGTACAAGGTAGTACTAGCTTTTAAGTCTGTGGATGAAACCCTAGTGTGTGACCATTCAAGTGAAAGCTATTGGGTAGCACTTTCATGTGGTACTGTTTATTATGCTGTACAAGGTGGCTCTAACTTTTAAGTCTATGGATGAAACCCTAGTGTGTGACCATTCAAATGAAAGCTATTGAGCAGTCCTTTCATGTGGTACTGTTTATTATGCTGTACAAGGTGGTTCTACATTTCAAGTCCGTTCACCAATGTTATGAAAGCTTCAGGGTATAGTACTTTCATGTGACCACTTAGCGAGTCCAAATTTCAAAAAGAATCTGTCCGGTTGGTAAAAAAAAGCAGTCATATTTTCATCGGCTTCTAATTAATCAAGTGGGGTCACAGTAGTTAGCAGTCTATCGTACACTGTTTTCATTATAAAGAAAACATTTCTGTCAGTGACATAAACCAAGCCAGTTTCCATAGACATACCGAGTGCATTTTTGAAGGTATTTAAACGAGCAAAATCTATCGATCCGTTTATACAATAAAATTCGTTTGTCCGTATTCCTCCACGAACCCGTTTATAAAAGTATAAAAAAAACCCGAGGGAACCAACCCGGGGAACTTAAATTGCGCTGGTGTTTTTCACTCCTGAATTATGGTATACTTCGCCTGAGCATGTTTACGAACTTCCCAAAATGTATACAGCACAGTTTGTGGTGGATTGTAATGTCCAATTTTCCAACATTTTTAAAGTATTCATTCTTCCAGGATTTCATCAGTTGTTCCTTTTTTTCAAATACTTCAATGTATCCATGGTGTTTGTCACAGATGAGACCAAGATGACACAACGGCGCCTAATTTATCAGTCCTGCAATCAAAACAGAATCTCAGCGATCCACGTTATACACAGCAGTCTGATGGGATAGGCCAGTGCGAAATAACACTGTTAAGCACTCTAGCAAGAAGCTATAGCGGCGTGCTAATGTCGAGCCGTGTTTTACATTTGATTGTTATCATAGAACGCTTTCCAGGTAAATTAGATTACAGGAGTTCACAGAAATGTCCTTGGATTTATTGCAGCTCGGAGTGATTCTTCAACACCAAATATGATACTCATAAAATTTGACCCTTTGAAAACATGATATAAAGTGGTTGTGATATGACATTTACCAGGGAAATGAGGCCTATCGATTGATTGAAAAGGGCGTGGCCTGATGGCGCGATCGCGCTTAAACATACGACAGGTGTCTGTAGAACGCGCTTTTGAGCGTGAAAGAAACGTTTCATAGCCCGCCTTTGGAGCGGGAAATTGTTCAAAGGACTGTGTAAGGTGGCTAACATTACTCAAGGAGCACATTTCTGCTTGTTTTTGTAACGCGTGTCCGAATTCATCACACTCGTCAAATCCGTTTATCGAGGCCGCATTTGGAATGTCCCGTAAAATAATAATAAAGACTTTAATATCCTCAAGCAGACGTTGATGCTAAAGATAAGGGCAATCTTCTGCCAATCTCCCATTGGCATTATCTTTAATATGGGAGGTCTGTAAGTAGAGTACCTGTGTCGCGCTTATGCGGTGTCACAACTCCATGTCAGCGTTGACTTACAAGAGCTCTTATCCAACACAGCATGTTTAACTCGCCTCATTTAGTTTACTGTAACTGTGCCTCGGCGCCGTTGCTTTACTGCCCGAGTGTTCACTCCATGTGGAACTGCTCCATTCCAAACCCACCGTCCGTGTACAGAGCGTCTTTGGACGCAGTGGCCACACACAGTGGCGCGAGCGTGCAAGAGGAAAACACCGAGACAATCTCGGCGAGTAGAAACCTCAAATTTGGCATTGAGAACATCCTGTATGGACAACTGCAGTCAGGTAGGTCGCTGAGCAAAAGTGCAAAACGTACCTAGCTTGTTAAACGGTTGTAATTGCAGTGTACCTCTGACTAATTCTTTAGGCTGTATCTTTCGGTCAGTCTAACTCAACGAGAACGTGTCAACCGACTTCGTTGTTCTTCAACTCAATTCTGAGGACGCGAACCTTTTGGCTATTGCTTTATCAATGATCATTTTAGTGCAGTGTTAATTGAGATTTTACTGGTTATTCACACTTGATATTTTCGTTATTGCTATACCCATTTCAGTCATATTAGACTCATATTCATGGACTGTTTCTTACAAAGCTTGACAGCCTGTACGCGGTTTCAGTCCATGATCAGTTTGTGTCGCTTAATGTGCAATTGTCATCCATCGGTGAACTGACTCATTGCTTTGATGAGATAAGATAAATTTTTGTTTACCATTTACCCTGTAATGTTTTTTTTTTAATCATTTAATGGCTGTTCCATATTGCGAGCATTGTTTAACGTTCCAGATTCGGTAAACACGAATATAAATAGCCGGTCAAATTTTGTAACTAAATGGCACACGCTTGCGAACAGCGCACGCGGCCGTCACCGCAAGCCTGACTGAACTTCACCTAACCTGATCAGCTATAGTGGTTTTAACTTGTATCTCAAGGAAGTCTTTAAGCAATTATCAAAATTGCAGACTATATATTGCGTATTTGACGTTGCTCCATTCCATACAGTCGTTTCTAGCACTGCGCACGACCAGTGAAAGAGGACGGCCTTTTCTCTCGGCGTTTCAACTAACTCTCAGTTCTTCGTGATAATGTATTAGCGGAAGACGAGGCCTTCGTTCTTCGCCGTTTTGCTTGAGAAATCACTAGGTTAAATGCTCGGCAGAAAATAACTTGATTGCGAAGAATACTGGAAACGCGGATATTTCCCTCTGCGCGGTTACGGCATAGATTTCAGAATTAGATCACTGAAGAACAAGCTTGGATTTATGATAACTACGTGGAAATCAACCATATTTAAGACTTAGCAAGACCTAACCCTGACAACATTTAAATAATTTCAAATTTTCTACCAGAAACAGAACCGGTTTAGTCTTAACCTAACCTGCCGACAATGGTTTTTATATATTTACCTTACTCTCCTTAATATGACACGAATTGCATTTACCTTTCTTGTTAGCGAGTGACACAATCCTCATTTATACTTGATTTACAGAGTCTAATAATTGTTCTTGTTATTTTAGGTTTATGTTATTACAAAAGGCTCGCTACGACCCATAAAACTCCGCCGACGTTAAAGTAAACTCAATTAATTTCATGACTATAAATTTGAGTTTAGATTAACACATAAAAAAAATAAATTCAATGGGCTTCAGGTCATCGTCTACATACACGAATCCGCAATAAGCACGGCCTGCAAACGGAGAACAAGTTTTTAGTCCGAACGGAAGAAAATTATCAGTTTAGAAAGGTGTAAATGTACTTCAACGGACATAAGCAACGAAACACTGAAATTACGGCTAAGGGACAAAACACGGATCTCGTTTTATTGTTGTTTCAGTATCGTACTACCTGTTCTAAGTCGAAAGATCAGGAAACGATGTTACTGATTCTGGAAGATTTTAAAAACGGTGCAAAAAACTTACGTAAATAGTACGTCCGGAGCATTAGGCTAATTCCAAATTGTATTTAGTGAGCGATCATGGACAACATGAAAGCAAAAACACAGCAGTTTTCTGTGTTCGTTTTGCGTGGGGTGATGTTATTTTGCGGTTAAATAAACAAAATTTGAAGTTCTATGCAACAATTCATTAATTATAATATCCGTTCGCAAGAGCTTTGAAGGAGACGTTTCACTTTGCACACACTGGACATGAACGAGATTAAAAGCAGGCGATGAAATACCTCTTTTGGCTTCTCATTCCATGCCTGTTAAAGCCCATATAAATGCCATGAATGCAGAAAGTGTTTACCGCATATTTATCACGTTAGTCCCAGCTGAAATGTGTTAATAGTATTAGCAATTTTAAGTACTTTATGACAATTAATCACAAACACTACCCAAAGAATACAATCCAAAGTTGTGAGATCGCTTGCATTTGCTATTCTTTTCACACATATACCTTGCCCCTCATCCTTAATTGAATGTCTTGGCTTTTGTTATTTTTAACAACTAACTGCTATCGTGGAACGGAAATGATTTGATTTTTTAAAGACTAACCTGAAATTGATACATTCTCAACTGAAAGGCATGGCGGACGATCCTTTCTTTCACGTGAAGTAGAGTTTGCATGAATGTTTGGTCTTTGCGACCTATCCAAAAAGCCGTGTCAATAAAATGATGTTTTCTGTTTTGTAGAGGGAGAGTTGATATGGATTTTTGGTCTCTTTAGGTCTGTTTAGGTGCCTCTATGGTAAAGAAAGAGGAATTATGAAGTTTGGCCTTTACGCTTCACCCGATAATACTGTACTGTAGAGTCGGGAACGGTTTTACGAAATAACGTCTCTCCGGCCGGGACCAGTGTTTATAAGACACGGTTTATGTGAATGTTAGTCTCTCTGAGGCTGAACGTTATGTCATTAAGACTAGTATTAATCATGGTAGTGTCTGTTGGAGCAGCCTTTTGAGTGCTTTGATCGACTAAACTGAGTAATGGTTAAACTGTTCACTTCTGGGCTCGTAATCGAATCCTTTGCAATTGAAGCAAAACGACGAAGTTTAAACACGGAAGCAAGAATCAGTTTGAATCAAAACCGAAAACTAACCATACAGCAAATAAATTGTAACACGAAATTTCTCTTTGTATTTCTTGACACTCGATGAACTCTGTGTTTTTTTCAAGGTAATTATTGTGTAGGGTAATTTTGATGATTTCGATCTATACTAATTGTCATAAGATTGTTTTATAGTTTACTTTACTGATACTTTACATTCAAGCCTGTTAATAGCTTTCTAATAGTCTGTAGCTCACTGATATTTGCTTCTCTTTTCCCCTACGTTGGTTCAACACGGCTAGCTCTGCTGATCTAGTTTAGGATATTTGTTAGAATCGGGGAAAACGCTGATACCGAAATGCTGAGTATTACACAACAGCGATTGCGCAAATCGTTCTTGAAAACCAAGTACGTTTTTGCCACTATTAGTATTCAGGAAAAGCAAAAGACCTACACATTTTTTTAGCGATTCCCTTATCACAGACTAGGTTCAGTTTCAGTTCAATTGCTAACTAAAAATCAACCGCCATTGTCAAACACAGATAAGCAACCTCACGGATATTAACACTCGAACTTTCTATGAATATATATCCGTTTTTCGCCGGGTTATGTGGTTGTTTATTATTGTTGTGCCGAAATGTTCAAAGTTGGGTGATTCTGCGATAACATAGTCACGATCGAACGCAAAGTTGCTTTTCCAATTCAGTAAACTTTGAAAGCCTTCCAATTTCGATTACATCGATTGACTAATTCGAAACGCCTTACTCTATGTCGATGAGTGAGTACCCATGAAGTCGACTCAGATAATTGATATCGCTTGGAAGTTCACATCAGATACGGGGAATAAACTTAACTAACGTCAAAAAAGGAATCTGGCTTTGGGCACGAAAAGATTTATAACAAAGATAGATGGACAAATATGGCAACCATTCAGTTTCTGATAATCATCACATGGTCTTGCTCAATGGCCAGTTTTGCGCATAGCAAAACATCCATCTCTTCACATGGGCGTTACCTTGATTTCCGATGAGGTTTTTCTTGAAAGACAAAATTGCGTGTTAAAAACTTTTTAATATATTGCAAAATGATACTTGATCTAATCCATCTTTACAGTGAAATCTGTTAAATACATTTAATGTTAATCGGAAAGATCTAGGCTTTAAAATCTCATATGTCATTGACAGTTCGCTCATTTCTTCTGCACGACATCAACGGATTGATACAGATGTATTTGTTGTTTTAAAACAACAGTGTTAATTATATATATCCCTCATATTCATCCATTTACCAATCATCGAGGTTGACCACAGGAATTTCTTCCTATCAACCCGGCGGCGCCAACGCAAAGCGACTAACAACTGCTTTCTTTTGCCGTAAGCCGGCTCTGTACAAAGTCTGCAAAATCTTTCTTCCGTGACCTTGCTTTTGGCAAAAGACCTTTTTACTGAGGGCCTATTGTACTCTGTGACTTGTCAGCTACAAACAACATCTTTATTTAAATCTCTGGAAACTTTAATTTCACCTTTTGAAAGTGATAACTAGATACGGGCCATGCTTTCCAGCAATTGAAGTTCTGATCCAGTCTTGTTCAACACTTTAAGCATACACTTCTTGCACTACTGCAAAATTTAGAATTACATCTAAGGGTAATGATGCACCACGCACCTCTCAGAAGTCTTGACAGGATAGGTTGAGAAATCAATCAGTGAATAGAACAAATGACAGGCACACCTTAAAACAAGGGTACAAGGTGCGAAAAACGAGAACGTCCGACAGTACCCGAGAGTTGACGAAGAGTTCACGAAAGTCCAGCTCTCCATAGCTATCAAACGAGTGCGACTAAAAAGGAGAGGAACGAACACTAGAAATGACAAAAATTGCGCAGTACGTGTGTGAAAGGCCTTGGTTAAATTAACAGCTGAAAACGTTGATGACTGGGAGGGAGGCTTTCCGTTTTAGGTCACTCTTATGTTCGTTTCCCCTGGGGTTAAGATTCGATTTGAATGCTGATGTCGTACTAACTTGCAACACTCTGATGGTTTTTCAGATCATCGTCATGGAGTCCACAGTCAATTTTCACACAACCGAGAACTCAGCTATATCTCTCATCAGCCTTTCACCCCGCCCATGCGCACTTCCAGCCGCCCTTGGTGTCGCCCAGTCTTCACGCAGCTGCAGCGGCGAGGACTGGAAAAGCGTTTTCAGGTCACCAAATACGTCACCAAACGGGAACGGTTACAGATCGGCGCCATGTTGGGTTTGTCAGAAACGCAAGTAAAAGTGTGGTTCCAAAACAGGAGAACAAAGTGGAGGCACGAGGCTGCGCGCAAAGAAGAAAAGCAAAAAGAGCAAGCTTTAAACAAGGCGAAGGAAAACCAGAAACCCGAGACGAGTGAGATTGGCGAGACACAAGAAAATGAAGAGGAATGTCTGTCCAGTAACAAAGAGACTTTACTGGAGGAACCTTAATAACACTGATGAACATTTTGGAAGTCACGATATCTCAGTGTATACTCACTGTAGAAGCAGCATTCTTGCCATTATTATCTGAAAGACTGTTTTGGTCGTAGAATGATAGAAATCACAATTTAATGGACATCACTCAGAGGCACGCCTCTCCTCACAGTGAACACTATCACCTCATATTCGATCAACTAGGCCATTTCCCTTCTGTCACTGTATCAAAACAAATCTTCGCGCGAGACCATTCATATGAAAATGCTTTCATCTCCACATTCATTTTCGTGCAAATCAAACAGTCATTTTCATAAGAAAAAGCTTTTCAAGAGGACACGTTTTAAAACAGAGGCAAAAGGCAATTCGGAAATGACCTAGGTTTTGCTGGAAAGACAGGGCAAGGTTAAAAGCTATCTAACATTGCCTCGGATTAGATTAATATTATAGTGAGCTTTTTCAGTGACAAGAAAAAAACGGAGTTCACAAGGAACTTGAATTTTACGATTAAACGGACCGGCAGCTTGATGCTGTTACAACGGAACCCATAATGTGACATTTATACGAACAGGGTGGAGGCCCGGGCCAGTATCAACTCGGGCCTATAAAATAAGGTCTATCAGCTCGGATCTATAAACTCGGGTCTATCAGCTCGGATCTATGATAGTGACCCAAGCTCAAATCAAGTCTACTAACTTATCATTTCTTTTGATTTTACCTCTGGAAATCCACAGTGAAACGTCAATTAAGACAATTTCTAGATGTCAATAATTCTTTGTATTTTGTGTATTTTATGACATGATTTTGATATTGTCAGCAAACACATGACATGTTGATCGGAAGGACGATTTGCACTGGATGAGTGCAGGAAACTAGACAGTACAACTCAGGCACTCGCTCACCACTCACATTGCTCATCTTTACCAATATTACGTTTACAACTGAATCACCCACCAATCAGGTGGATCTGTGATACACTCGACAAAATTTCAAAAGCCAATTTAAAGATAGAGTAAGTCATTCTGCTCCGTGATTCCCTCTTCCTTTCTGTAGTTAGTCAGGTCAATGACCATCAGCTGCTTGAGGCCGGCGGATGGCTAAAAAAGGTATTCTGCTAGGGAGGGAGAAGGCAAGATGATAAAGCGATTGCGAACTGAAATGAGATAGAGCTAGTGAAAAAAGAACGCTTCAATTTTGGCCCGCCTGCCTCAAGACTAGGTTCCCTCGATCTCTCCGAAAAACGTCTAAAAGTAGCTACCGCAATTTTCGAAATTCTTCGTATTTTTAAACGTTGTACTACCACAGTGTTTTTCAAAAATGTAATAAATAAACATTAAATACCATACCAAAATGGTAAGGAACAACACCCTTCCTAAATTTAAAAGGAGCGTTAATATGAAAAGAAATAGGGGTAATGTTCAAATTGCGCAAGTTTCTATTTGCTCGTTGGCACTGTACCGGTAGGTATGACTAGTAAATAATTTATTTTGTGGAGAATTGTATTTTGTAAATTAAAAATTGTTCCTCATCTGTCTTCCCTCCGGGCATGCGCACTTCCAGTCGTCAAAAACAACATGGCCTTGTTCATGTTAGGGAACCGATTGGTGCGAGTTCATATAGGTAGCGGAAAAGCTGTTAAAATAAAAGAAAACTAAAAATAGGCATGTTAACACGAGAATTTGTTACTTACTTCGATCATGTTGTAATTATTTTATCTGAAGTGAAAGTCTTAAATAAAAAGGAAAAAAAGTTACTTTCAACTGAAATGACTTTGAATGGCCGGAAAATCTGGCATACTTTGAATGAAACAAGCGGAAAGCACTCTCATTATCAGGATGAGCTCTTATGAACTCCAGGGCGTCTGTTATCAACATTTGGGATCATAGGAAAAATAGCTATGTTCCTGAAAGGAAAACAACATTAGGGACAAGATAAAAGAGGCGACAGAATGATAAGCACCTCGCACGAAATCAAGAATGTTTTGCAGAAAAAAAAAAAAAAAAACCAGCGGCAAGTTTTGCAAGCAATGATTTTCAAAACTGGACCTAACGCAAATCAGACCACACAGGATTCCAGATCAGGGAGGCAACACCGAACCATACTCCAAATAAACAGCATTTTAAGCACAGTTTTTTTAAAAGGGAAAGTTACCTAATTTAGCTACAAAGTCGTAAGGTCAGTCAGGACATAAAGCTGTCTACAGATTTAGTTCGTACCTCCCACAAGAAACTTGGATGTTTTGACACCTAGGTAGCGTGTACCGGGGGTACGTCCCCCGGGTACCTCCCTGTTTAAGCTCTGGCACAAGTTATCAGAATTTACTTTAAATGGGAGTAAAGTCTTTTGAGCTGTGGCAGTATAAACGCAATATGGATTTTGCCTTTTTGAGTGAAGTTTTCCTCTTGAAAGTCAGCAAGGCCGATAGATTTTTCGATATAATCTTCATTTCTATCAACAGTCTGTAATGTGTAAATAAAGAAAAGAGCAAAGCACTTAATTCTTCGATTTCTACTTCTTCTGGTGAAATAGGGCGTGGATTGAAAAGAACAGGTCTGAAAAGGGTACGAGTCTTACAAGGTGTGGCGTGAAATATATTTGAAACAGAATCATACATTTGCTGTAAAATAAGGTAAGGGCTGCAAGAACCAAGTGGCGCACTCCCTCCAAAAATTCCAACAAGAACCCCCCGGAAGTGCAATGGTAACAGACTGATGCGTGCACGATGCGTGGAGAGATAGTCTATAACTGATAAGGTGATTGGCATAAACAGGTGTGGGACAGCGAACTTTGCCGACTGAGCTAAGCTGAATTTAGCCTTAGCTACTTGCGTGGGAGGTCTGTACCGCACGGAGTGGCTTTCTGTATCTCTCGAGTGAAGATAGCTATGAGTTCGATAATGGTTTATTACCAATGCAACTTCTGCGGAACTCCTCCACGAGCAAGTTCCGTTAACGGCTCTGTAGCACCGCTACAATCGAGTGTATCTCTCGTACCGTTTTGTACAAACGGTTGTACAAATGTGTCAGCAAAAGCACTGACAAAAACAAGCTTGGCGTCCGAGACGGGAAATATCACGAGGAAAGCTGTAACATTCAAACAACAGGAGCATCTCTCGTTTGGAATTGACAGGATCCTTTATGGCTCTTCCAAAGCAGGTAAAAATTTGACTTCACTTAATTCCAGAAAGAGCAAAGGGCGACCTTTATGCGTAGAGAAATCATCGGCTCGTTATTGATATAATATTATAGGCAGACAATCCGGTGCAAAAAAGGCCTTGTGTGCGTGCAAGCCCTGGCTACTTAGCCTGCCTTCACCTCATGTGTTTGCGCGATTTACGGATTTTCCAACTCCGATTAATAGGTACACTTAACAGAATTAAACGATTTATTGGCCAGTATTCAATGTTGTGTTTTAAACCCCTGCAGTGTTGGGCTCTGAGACAAACCGATGTAAACGGATAAATTCGTGCGGAATTTTTTTTTGTGGTGCAATACTCCAGGTCGAATTGAACGAAGACCAAATGTACCTGGATCAATAACAGTGAAAAAATTCTACTGACAGGCGCGAATCGAATAGAGTGGAGATTAAATAGAACGGTTTTTAGCCGATCTGATTATCGTTAACAGCTTACTGATTCTATTCATTGCTAATTTGCTATAAAAACCTTTCATAATTGCTCGCAAAACACAAACGCCGACGAGATTTAGACACACACGACGAATTCGCGATAGAACTGGAAATTCTCAAGCGCGACCTCTCATCATGTCTGAAAACCACAATGCCCAAAAGAGATCACCAGAGAATTTTCTTCGCATTACGAACGGCGCATTAAAATAACTGTGGCTTTCGAACTCTTTTAAATCGTGCAAGGCTTAAAAGGTAAACGAACTCCGGGGAATTCAACCATCTTTTTGGTTAAAAAAAAAAAAAAAAAAATGAAATTCAGCGGGGGGCATCTTCCTTCAAACAGTGTGGCCGTGGCGCAATTGTTGCCTGCGTGTGTGTCCGGCGCGCATTATAGTCCCATTATACGTTCTATTGGTCATGACTGGCCATCTTGGTTTCGGACAAAGAGTCGCTTACACATCCGGCATGTTTACAAAACTTATCAGACACCTGTCATGTTGTTATTCAACATTTCGTGCATTTGATGCCGGAAAAATCAAATGAAATTAAAGATAAAGTGATTCAAGCTATGAGTGTGATTGTTTTAGTGTGTAATTCAATCTTTTTATAGCCTCGATACATTACACCATGAATTCGTCCCGGAAATTGCCAATCTACGGAAAAAAAGCATTTGTGATTGACTTCGAGAGATTACTTGAAACTGGTCTGTTTCTCTTAGAAGCCGATTAAAATAGTTTGAAAACATCTTGTCAATACTATTCTAAGGATATGTAGTGCTCTGGGTAAAGGCCGAATTTCAAAGTTCATTCCTAGTAGGGGTAGTCTTAGCAGGGGAAGAAAGTAGATTACATTTGCCGAGGTCACATTTGAAGAAGTGATAATCTCTTCATCGTGAAATGTAGAAAATGTACTGTTTGTGTTGGAGTTATTATACTCTTACAATGCAGGTCAAGGCATCAAGTCTTTGGAATTGTTGAGCTGCAATACCGGGTTTCTCTGTGGATTCCCGAAGTAATTTGAACTGAGGCGAAGTCGCTTTAGACGACCTTTTGTTTCCGATTCGGACTAAAAAATGAAACAAAATTAAGGCTTGAAGTAATCTTCATAAGTGTTAGCAAACGGAGCCTTGCAGACAGTTTCGCAGAAACTGAACTTCGTATCTACAGTATTTCCAAGGTTGTTTTAAAGGAAGACTTTCGTAAATAGTAAATGATTCTTGTCCAACCTTGTTCTCAGGGTCTCTCGTCTTCTGGACACTCAGGAAGAGAAAGCCTGGGAACGAGGCTTGAGATTGTCATGAGTGATCACGTGATCCTTTTTTCAAATGATGATTAAAATCAATTCGCTCAAAACCTCGAAACATATGATCTATCAAACATTTCCTTTGTGAATCGCTTGTTCGTGGGGTAAAAGTTGACAAAATAGGGCAAAATACCCTGCAGAGAGACTTTCAATTTTAAAACATGTCGCTTTTTAATAGCTCAGAATAGAACTGAGATCATGGTAAATCATGGTGCGGAGGCAGTCAGGAAACCCATTGTTATCTAAGCCTCGCGAGTTCAACTACCCAGAGAATGTCTTTGACTATACTGGACTAGAAAGTGGGAATTCTGTGCTTTGTTTGTTGAGATACCTTTGGGTAGAATTTAAGCTTTAGTCTTTTTTGGGTTGAGTTGTTAGTAAAACCGTGAACGTGTTTGCCTGGTTAAGACTGAATAGCGCTCCATTCAGCCCAAATGGTGTACCGGTTAGCCTGAATAGCACGGACTCAACAGTGGTCAGCTCTCAGTAATTGTAACTGTAATAACTGAGCAACCTGTAGTGAACTAGCGACCTACGTACTTGGCTAAAACAGTTAACTTGTAAACAGTAAAACTTTAGACTAGTACTAAGATAGTTATTTTATTAATTTAAATGGCACCGGCCCAGTGCCATATGTGGGTTGAGTTTGTTGTTGGTTCTCGCCTTGCTCCGAGGCTTTCTCTGGGTTTTCCGGTTTTTCTCCATCCTGAAAAAAAAAAACATCATCCCCAAATTTCAATTCGACCATGGCCAGGATGAAATCCAGCTGAGGCTGATGTAGCTTCCATTCTAAATATTGTAATTTATTTAATCTTAAAACAGTGATTATATGGAGCACCCGAAGCTCGCATGGGCAAACGTGAAGTGATCGATTCAAATCCTATGCAGATCGCGCAATTTTTGCTTTTAAACTCAAACCTTGCGTGAGTCCTTTGACGCCGAGCGTCACCTTTGAACTTGCAATAAGAAGATATTGCCATAATCCGTTTTTAAATTTTATTGATATAGTGCTACTGACAGATGCCTAAAAATTAATATTGCGTGTTCCAAAAAGATTTGACTTTGTAAAGTTTTTACATCTGATACGTCATAAACCGATTGCAAAACTAAATTGCTTTTATTCTGAGATCGAAGTTGTCCTTGTATCACTTTAACACCATTATCTTAATCGTTATGCAACGTTTTCACGTTACAATCTGAGAAAATAGTTTCTGTGCTATACAGAAAAATGTTACAAAAAAGTGGCTTACATGATGGCACGGAAGAGCAATATTTCGAATATTGGCTACATGTATTGTTAAAGTTTACCCTATCAGTGGTCTTACGGTTGACGCCCTGTAAATAAAACAAGCAATTACCTTGTTGTTTTTATCAGGGCAAGAGAGAGAGAGAGAGATCTTCGCTTTGGTATTTACTAATTCGCCGGAAACACACTCTAGAGAGATAGATCTAAAAACCTTAAAAGACTTCCGAGAAAACTGCTCTTCCACGCAACACGTCAACCTTATCGCGCAATGAAAACTTTGCAGGTCTGATGCAATGTCATCATATCTTGAAGCTTAGCCTTGGGTAACATGTTAATACTTTTCATTTCTTAAAGTTATTTCATCTCAGACTGTGTCTCCAATTGATCATAAAACTATCTTATTCTGTCTGTTTTTCAGACCTGTTTGGTAAGCGTCTTAATGTTACCCTCGCCACTCCCCGCAGTACAACAAGGCAAATTACTCACTCCACACCCTGGTCCCGTCCGGTTTTCTCTGACCACCAGCGCAAGACTCTAGAGGACCGCTTTCAGCTTCAGCACTACTTGAACAAACGGGAGCGTTATCACTTGTCTCTGTGTATTGGACTTACAGAACATCAAATTAAGGTGTGGTTCCAAAACAGACGAGTCAAGTGGAGACAACGACAGAAGGCGAAAAAACAAAGCACAAAGCTGTCCCGTGGGGCACCCGGTGCGCAGAAACATTGACTTTTGTTGCCATAAGGAAAAAACAGACCCGCTCTTTCAAGAAGAGGAATTGAGTAAGAAAGACGGATTAAGAAAAAACGTGTGTTGTTTAACTGATCATACTGATAAGTGCGCGAGGAAAAACTGCGCATAAAGAAAATGTACTTTTCTTATCTTGGTGATTGATATGATTTTCTTACGTACTTTGAAAGTTTCTGTTTTACCAGTGGGATAATTAGTCATCCTTTAGGGACAGATCATTATTTTTTTGAGGGTGGGGGAGGTTGGGCAATTTCCAAAACAAATTTTGCACAGCAAAAACTGCTAAAAAAATCGTACAAGAGAAGCCACGGGAAAAACATCGAGCAAGTGCTTTCACCTAACCAGGTCCTCTGTTTGACTTTTGAAAAATCCTTCCACAAGCTATTGCCCACCAAAATAATCTTGCACAACCTAAAGTTGAGAAAATTGAATTTCATTCCCCAGAAAATTGCCCCAGCTCCCCCGCCCCCCGCTCTCAAACAGATAATTGTCCGCTCCTCAGTTAAGGGAGTCTTTCATTTGTTCATTCGTGACAAGCAATTGACAGGTGCCGGAGTGTTTTCATACTATGCTATGATCAGAACTCCTCCCGTTAGTGTGCGACCATTCAAATAAAAAGCATCGAGAAGCACTTGAATGATCGTGATACTGTTTATTACGCTGTAACTGAAAGTGATTTTAACTTTTGGGTCTATGGAGCACTTTAATGTTTGCTCCTGCTCCTGCTCCTGCCTCCTGCCGCTGCCGCTGCTGCTACTGCTGTTACTGCTTCTTCAACCCCTAATAAAAGTTAAAATCACTTTTTCTGCCACTGATACTAATGCTACTCCTACTCCGACTGTCGCTTCCACTGCAGCGCTACTACTGCAGCCACTACTGTTACCACTACTGCTACTAAGTTATGTAAAACTATAGTGCCATCAAATAGTTACACGAGAATACTAAATCAGAAACGTCGTCGGTGGCTTTTGAAAAGTGACGGACACTAAACCGTCAGATAAATTTAAACATGGAATCAGTTTGTCATAAGAAGGCCGCGTTAATAGTTTATAAAACTCAGGACTACATGTAAGATATAGTTAAAAATTAGTTCAAACTACAAACGAAGCTCTATAACAGTGCTCCCAATTTTTGGTTTTAAATGTGTTTGCCGGGATATCCTGTGAAGAGTTCTGAGTGGACAGTACAGCCACGGTTGATGGCACGGTCCCGGAGGGGGGGGGGACTTCCATATAAAAAGGAAGGGGGTGCTGGTCGGAAATTTTGAAAAGAACCCTTAAGAGGTACCAAGATTTTGTCTGTTGGGCGTGGCTTGATTGAACAATGAAGAACAACAAGCCTGGCTTGCCTTTATGCCGTGCATACGTATAGTTGCTAAAGTTGGTAAGGAGTCTAACTATAATCTAGACTCCTTGACCTGAGTTCGGCCTTTACCAATTATTTCTCTAACGGCTTTCTTGAACTCAGGACTTCGGAAACTGTATAAAATAGGATTTATGGCCGTGTTGGAGAATCCCAGCATCCAAAGAAACCTGCTCACTTCATTTGGAACCGTGTAAACACACTCTCGACAAAAAACAAATGTTATACTCAGTGATGTCCACGGAAGCCAGCAAAAAATAAAGGAGGACACGATTAAAAAGGTTGTTTTAGCCGCGCGAGCATTACGCCTTTGTTTTAATTTGCTGACAGCAGTTTCATTTTGGATTCTATTCAGCTCCAAGCGACTTTTTCGTTCAGTTGGAGGGAAATGACAGAAATGCTCCATTGGTTTGCCTTCCGTTGTTTCGTCGTTGTTTTCAGGTACTGCCGATAAACTGATGCATTCCGTCGTTTTGAAAGGAACGGGTTCGCTTTCTGTACCACGTACACCAGGTTGCAATGGACTACGTGACATTTTGAGGACAAGGTGGTACATTCTGAGGTTAATACAGCTAGAAGCCAACATGGGTATTACAAAATTCAGCATGGAGCTTAAAAATGAATAAACCAAAGTTATATTGAAGTAACAAAATCCATTGTGGACACTTTTTGGAAAATTTTTCCAGCCAAGGACCGGGGCGAGTGAAAACAAGATCGAGTAAGCCCGCAAAATGCAAACCACCAGTGAGGCGCGCCTGCGAGTCATCAGCGGCGATTCCTTGAAACGATCAAGAGGGTCTTGAAGGGTTCTGTAGCGATAAAACGTCAAAGCCAGCAAGGTGAGAATGGACGTAGGGACTGTGAGCAAATATGCGGTGGTGTAAACGTTGCACATTATCTCACCATGGCTCCATTTGTTATATGATATAGTTCACTCCAGATTAAACGATGCGACGAGACACGTGGTCATGAGGTCGGACACTGCCAGCGATACTATGAAGCAAGCGTTGACAGACCGCCGCAAGGACCTGGTGCTTAGTATCACCACACAGACGGCTAGGTTTCCCAGAAGAGATACTGCGATAATCAACGCGTAAATTGTGGAGTACACAACTGTAACACTGAACTGAATAATTTTTGCGTTGGTCCAATTGCCATATCGGGACTCATTCATGATGGACTAGGATAATAATCTTGTATTTTCTTATTCCAGTTCCTGCATTGCAATTAAAGAGGAGAGAATGTTTTATCTACGAATATTTTTGTAGATAATTGCTAATTGTAGTTTTTGTTGTGACTTCGGCTGTGATGTCAAGTGACAGACATTTTTATGTTCCTTTTCCATTACCAGCAAAAACCAACTAAAGTCTGAGAAGTACAAACGTCAGTGAAACTTCTTGTCATTCAATATACCCAAATAGGTCACTAAAATACATGGATAAAGCTCATCTGAGACAAACTTGTCGTATTTTGTAGAAAATACGCCCGCAGTATTTATTTGAACTTGTTTATATTTGACTCTAGCAGTTTATGAAGCCAGGTGCTCATTAAGTAAAGATTTATTTAAGCGATAATTAACTGGCAAACTAAGAAATAAAACGCTGAGAAGTTTAACTTAATATCACAACTGTTCATCACTTCCAAAAGGGCTGATGAAGATTCAGAAGAAGATTCAGAAGACTTATTACGTTCTCCTGAAATATGTATCCGCACATCCTTTGTAAGGCAATTTTTTTCAGGGAAACTGACGTGGCCAAGAACTATTTCACTTGAGGACAAGGGAATTGTTCCAGCTGATCACTTTCTTTTGCTCCGAGATCAAAACAATAGAGATAAATAAGCTTTCTTTTGCGAAATATGGGAGCAGTTTGTAACACGACTTCAATGAAATCCATAGCAAAATGAATAATCACGTGATCGAAAAAACGATGATATAGTTCAAATGCAAAGCATTATGGGTAGAGCTTCTAAACCTCTTTGCTTGCAGATTTCAATTTTAATTTTCTTTACGGACAGTCTGCGTCTGCGGAAAAAGCTGAACCACATTTTGTCTGTTTGGTTAGCCGTCCGTACATTTTCTTTGCCGTATTTTACGCGATGGAAGCCATTAAAACTTACGCTCTAACGTGGCAATGGAAATCCAGCTTAAAAAATAGCGTTAAATGAAAAAGTCGTGTGAGTGAGAATCCTTGTCCAGAATTACTCTTTTGAGCCGATCTCCTCGTATCTGCATTGCTTGGAAATCCACTTCTGATCTCACACGCAAAGCTACTGGTAACAAATGATAATTTCAATAGCAAATGATTTGGTAGCGAACATATATTATTTTTAATATATCCGAAAGTATTCGAAAATACTAGAGACAGAAGACTGATAACAACCTGCTCCACACTGGAGGATCATCAAATTGAGTGAAATATAAAATAACCAATCGAAACTTTCAATAACACCGCAAACACAAATTAAAGAAGTTAGGATGCAGATGGACAGAAATTGAAAAAGACTAAAACGTATTTTGATATCGTGGCCTGGGTTTTGAAAACCTGTTAGGCTGACAGTTTTCAAAGTTAATGTCGTTTGTTTGTCGTCTTTATTATAAAGACTGGGAGAAGCATTTCTTTGTAATGAAGCTATAGTTTTGTGCTTTTAGATTCATAGAAGTCTGAATTTCTTCGCTAACATTAAGTTTCTTGACGAGTATTTGGCGAAACGTAATAAAACGGACAAAACTCAGCTGTGACACAATCGCTTTTGTTTAAGCGCAATGGAGCCAGAATTGAGTGGAAAACAGAACAAGGTACAGAAAAAGACAACCGTTAACTATTTTCGAAAATTAATCGTAAACAATGGTTAAAAATACATACGGTTGCGTTCTCAATGAAGAGCGGTTTGAGCTAATTCTTCCCTCTAGTCCAGTTGGCCGAAGCGTTAGCCTTTAGTGATACTAGGCTGATTTAGCAAGAGAACGGGAACGTCACTTGACGACGGCGCGCGTAGTATAAATAGCCAAATATGGTCAAATTAGAACAGAATCTAGGTTATTCCGCGCGCCGTGCAGTCGTCATCTGACCATATTTGGTTATTTGTACTGCGTGCGCCGTCGTCAAGTGACGTTCCCGTTCCCTTGCTAAATCAGCCTAATAACTACAAGAAGACGGCGACACCTGACTGGCGACGGAGTTAATTATGAACGAATGTTTTTTTTTGCCTCAATAATAGAGAGAACCAGGTGCACCCGCGCTAAACCTAAACGAAACCAACTTTAAGGTCAGGATACAAATTCTTACTACTGGCCACCATGCACCCTTCATGTTACTATTTTAGAGAATTCGAAAATTCCCCTCGGTAATTAATTCCTCTTCTGTCAGTACCTACTGGCAGCACTGAAAATTAAAATGCGCAATTCGCATTTTACATTTAGTTTATAATGTAATGCAAATGAGACAAGGTAACCGTGAAAAAGTCTATTCGCTTCTTTAGAAACGTGAAGAAATCTGATGCGATCTCATCTCGCAAACGCTTGTGGGATCGTCACTGGAGAGAACAGAAGATGAGAAGCCATTTATAGAGCGGAAAAACGTACTGCGCAGCTTTCTGCTCGTCTCTCGCCATACCTGCGGGTGGTGGAAAGAACGGCAGACTGTAATAAGGTACGCGAGGACGTGGATCGGTTGATTAATTTATAATTGGGCAAGCACGACTTTTTTCGGCATTTCACTGTTTAAAAGAAAACAAGGCTCCCCTGCCTGCTGAGAGGTTTTCTTGGTTATACATTTAGTAGTGAGCTTATATGGAGGAATATGTAAAGAGGGTTTGTGGGAAAAAAATGTGTCTTCGCACCGAAATTTCTTGTACACAGCGGGAAGGTAAGGGTTCGGAAACCTTCTTTAATAGGCGCATTTGATCATATTCACATGTTAATTTGCGCCTTAGAAATATTAAATATTATTATTATTATTATTATTATTATTATTTT